CTCCTCCTCCTCCTCCTCCTCCTCCTCCTCCTCCTCCTCCTTCTTCTTCTTCTTCTTCTATTTCTTCCCCCTTCTCCTTTACCACACTACTACTACTACCTTCTCACCTTCTTTTTTTTTTCCTGCCAGTGTTGCTAAATATCAGTGGGGCCTACTTCACATTTGGGATCTGTAGCTCCAAAAGCAGCCAAAGATGACACTTCTGGCATCTGAACAGTCCATGCTCATTCGAAGAAGATTTCGCTCTGGTAGGTAGGACCAGTATTGGTGTGTCATTTCAAAAGACAGGAAGCATTTTGTACTTTTGGGTTGGAAGCCCAGCTATCCCAATCCCTTCCCTAATGGAACTCCCAGGCCATTTTTCATTCTTTGCATCTTCATGTCATCAGATAATGAAACTATGCTTTTGTTGCTTGTCTTTGTTATTTACATTCTGAGGATTTGGGGCCCAATGACCTAGTATTTAAGCTTTAGTTTTACTTTTCCCCTTCCCCAACCATCTCCTGCTCTGTGAGAAAACAATTTAGCCCAGCTTCCTCTACTTAATATGGTGAGTGTCTGCAGGAAGAGCAAATGATGTCATTACAATAATGCTGCAAATTATATATTCTCCAAAATAGACTATTCATTCACTTCCCAGAATTCCCAACCAGCACCATTATAAATTCAACTATTGATGGCTGGTTGATTTAAACCAATTTAAACCTTGGCAACTTTAAGATATGTGGATTTCATCTCCCAGCAAAGCTGGCTGGGGAATTCTGGGGGTTGAAGTCCACACATCTTAAAGTTGACAGGGTTGAAAAACACTGGCTTAACCCTTATACCTATGCGAGATAAAAGAGAAGCAGTGTAAGTTGGACCCCTTTATTAGTTCTTTTGCCTGCTGCTTTCTTGGTTGTTGCCTGCTGCTTTTATGTTGCAAAATTTATGTTATAAATATACTTTATATTTTATTACACTGGGAAATGCTCTGCAAAGCTCAGTGGCAAAAGGTCAGAGGACCAATTTGTGGCATCTCCAGGTAGGGCTGGATAAAGTTCCCCCCCAAATTCTGCAAAGTTGCAATTCCAGTCTGGATTAAAAAAAAATAGATCTAGAAAGGTCAATGGTTTCATTTGAACTAAAGCAGCTTTTTAATTATTTAAAATTTTCATCCCCCAAACTTAATTAGAGCCAACTTTTGCCTTGTAGCATATTTAGAAGTATTCTAGTAAGTGTGGAGAAATATTTTCATATAATTTAACCATTCCATGGATGATAAGATTAAGATCAGAGTTTTCTTCCCAACAGAATTCCAGTATAATTGCCTGTGTTGTAGTGTTGCTGTAGGAACACTGCAGCAAAATCAGTGGTTGTTAGAGAGAAGCCAAGAATCAGGCCTTTTAGGTCAGAGATGTCAGTTATGTCAACCAACAACAATCACTGAGCTTCTCCAAAACCATGAAGTGCATGAAAAATAATCCATTAAAATATGGAAAAGATGGGAAGAAGAAATGATGGATTTAAACTGCTTTCATTTAATAAATAACTATAATAGGAAATCAAATGCCAGTAAAGTGCAGTCAAGTTTTTAATATGACTTCAGCTAGTTTGCAAGAAAGGCTGGGAAAGGGAAAAGACCCGCCATCTTTCATTTTCAAAGATTTCACCTCTAATAATTGCTTTAGACTGAGGAATGCTGGGAATTGAAGTCCACACATCTTAAAATGGCCACGGTTGAAAAATGCTGGTTTGCAAGAAAGATTCTTATTGAATTGCATCCTGATAAATGTGCGAAAAAGTTTGGGCGGGTTTGATTCTAGATTTGCACTTGTATCCAGGTCTGGGGATCCTTGATAGTAGTGATGGTTATGTTCTTGATCCAAAGATATCCCAACCCACTCATCCCCCGCCATACACATACATATACATAAGCCATACATAATTATGGATTTATGAATGTTTAAGTTTCAATTAAAAGGACAAAATGACATCTCATAGACAATCCAGGAATCAAGACTGCACATGTCTTTCCCTGGCTGATTACTTGTAATATGGCACAGAGCAAAAAGTACTAAGAAAGTAGTAGCTCACTTCTTTCAGTCAGCTGCCTACTTAAAACACAGGCTGGCCTTAAATTTGAATATATTGATGGTATAAATGCACTGCTCTTTATTCCATGAGTTGAGCCAAGGTCATTTGATTTTGCATTTAATGAAAATGGAGGTGGAGAAAAAAATGGGCAATCCATGTATTTATGGATTGCCCATAAGAAACTTTTGAATATGGTGGGTGGAGGGGAGGCTGGGAAAGGGGAAAGACCCGCCATCTTTCATTTTCAAAGATTTCACCTCTAATAATTGCTTTAGACTGGGGAATGCTGGGAATTGAAGTCCACACATCTTTAAATGGCCATGGTTGAAAAATACTGGTTTAAAATTTAATTTGACAGTTGGCTCTTGGTATGCCTCAAGCAGAATAGGAGTCTGCCTTGGTTCTCAAGGATATCCTTCAGATCTGAAGACTTTAAAAAAATATATTCAGAATGACTTTCTAAGCCCCCTTTACTAGCTGTAATGAAATGCATGGATGACCTTGAGGAAAAGGGAGGAAACAATCAGACAAGAGGCAAAGACCACAATCACTAAGTGGCCAAAGAAAGAAACTAAGCAACGACCCTCCCAAATGGAGCTAACAGTTAAATGGAGTTTGTACTTTCAGACTTTCAAGAGTCTGTTAATGTAGTCTTATAATAAAGCAGTTTTGGCTCATCTAATCGTGTTTCCTATCTGGTTTACCTGGGAGGTCTGACTTTCCTGTTGGGTTGCCCAACCTATGCAGATAAGAAATATGATATCTTCAAGAGCAGAGTTTCTGCATGGACATCTGGATTGTCTTCATTGAGATCCAGATGGTACCTGCTCTGCTGTTGTTTTTTAGAAGAGCCATGCAGAGCTGGCTCTTCACCCAGGCCTTTAGTGAGAGAGACTGGGACCCTTAACTTTTATATTATTATGCTTTATTGATTTTATTGTAATTCCTTTGATTGTTATGAGCCATCTAGAGTCGTTGACAGTTGGGCAGCATACAGGTGTAATAAATTATTATCACTAACATCAACATTTTTCTTTTTGTGCCTTCGAATCAGTAGTCTTGGTGTCTGCCTGGACGAATCCCTTCAGTTTTCTTGGCAAGATTTTCAGAGGTAGTTAGCCCTTGACTGCTTCCTAGAGCTGAGAGAGAATGACTGGCTCAAGGTTACGCAGCTGGTTTTGTACCAAAAATAGAACTGGAAATAATGGTTGCTTGGTTTCTAGCCTGGTACCTTAACCATTACAATTTCGATGGCCTGTTGTAGAATTACACTGTCATTCTCTGATGAGAAATGGCAGTAGCAATGACCAGAACATGGACAACAGAAGTAAATCAGGTAAGAGTAGCAAAAGAAGAATTAAGGATACAAGCAGATCATTTAGCATATGTCATACCATACAGATAGTCCTCAATTTACTATTGTAATTGAGACTAGAAATCCAGTCGTAAGTCATTATAGTGGTAAGTCAAGGCACCCCACAAGATCAGAAATCATTTTCCAGCTTTTTTGCGGCAGTCATTAAGCAAATGCCACAGTCATCAAGCAAACTCATTCATTTGAAAGAATGTTTTTGGCCAGAATTTTACAAAAAAGCCAGAAACTGGCAAAAAAAAAAAAAAAAAAACCATTGCGAATCACAATCACATGACTATGGAATATCGTGGCAGGTGGTAAAGCTGACCTGCCTGACATATGGTCATGTGACTGCTGCTGGTGTTTTAAGGGCCATAAAGGGCCATTTCACAGCCATTGTAACTTCACACAGTCTAAATTTATAAGCGGTCATATGTTGATTACTACCTATAAGTAAAATAATCAAGCAAGTATTCCTTCCAGGCTCATAACAAAGTCAAAGCAGCAGAACATACACATTTAGACCAATATAATATCATTCTAGTTGCAAGGACAATTTTTTTCACCAGAAGCCTTAGTTTTATGGCCCAGCACTGCTTATGAATGAAAGATGTTCTCTTATAATCATTTTCTTTAGGCTCAAACTCCTAAAAAACCCAACCTGCTTCTGGGTATTTTTAATAGTCATTGTACAATAGTATTGTATTCAATGTTGCGTGCCTCCCCATTTATGGTAAAATATTCTTCAGAATTATTCCACACTTTTTTATTTTTATGGTATTGCCAGAGTTTCTGAAATGCCTCCATGAAAATATGTGTTATTTAAATGCAAGGTCAGGCCACTTAACAGCTTTCAGGTATTCTGGATTATAAAACTTGATGGCAGTATAGCATTGGCCCAACAGAAGAGAATACCTGTAGCTCAGGGTTGAACTTTGAAATTCTTGGTGGTCCCTGAGCTTGGTTGTTTGCTTGTAGACATTTCATTACCAACCAGGCAACTTCATCAGTGCAAGGGAGTGTGTGGTTAGTTGTTCAAAAGAGACAATTTAAAAAAAAAATCTAAAAGTGACAATTAAAAAAAACCTGGAAGGAAACAGATTAGAGCGCATTCTCTCCAGCGGCCCACATTCAGATAAGCAGGGATCAGCAACAGACAAACAGCCAGGTGGAAAACTATACTCCAATCAAGGACCCATCAAGGACTACACCCCCACCAAAACTGTCAGTTTTCAGTTGTACAGGATTATACTACTTACAGGATTTCAGAAACACACCTACAGCTAATTTTGATGCAAACTTTTGTTCATGCTGATCAGTTGACTGATTGCTAAGATTGTTCCTCTAAATTTTCTTCCATGGCTTGACAAACTTCTTGAAAATGAGAATGTAGGGTGCAATCAAATGTTTCTTTGGTCAGATACATGGAACTGTCTGCAATTAATCCCCACCTAGGTGCCCATGTGTCCCATACGAAGGTGCTTTATACTGCATATTCTGTGGGTATCACCCACCACCCCAGCCCTGACAGCCTCTGGCCTGGGAATCAGGGGCATCTTGTATTTCCATCCTTTTAAATAAATAGCTAGTGGCGTCACCCCAGCTGTTGCTGACAACAGGAGAAATGCCAGCCAAGCAGGGGGCACAGGAATAGAAACGCTTGGAGCAATCCCACCCTCCAGAGATATGACGTGCCTGCTCTTGGAGGATGGGCAACGGGGGCTCACCTATCTCACCCACCCCTGCGGTGCTCTTCCTTGCCCCCAAGGATTACCCTTGCCAGGGAGCCATTGTCCCCAGAAGGAGGGTACAGTAGGGGGATTTCAACGAACAGAGCGACTTTTCAAAAAAAAGTTCTCAAATGCCTTTTGAATTCATACCTAGCGAGTTGAGTTCAGGTTTCCATGTCACTGAATTTCTGAAAGATTGCCAACCAGAATGTGGAGCAGCAGCATTCTGTTGCACCAGAGGGTAAGACTAGCCTCAATGGGTAGAGTGAGACATGCAGGGAAGCAGATGTTGGCTAACCTTTAGGAAAAACTCTATAAGACGAAAGCTGTTCAGTAATAGAGCAGACTTTCTTGGGAGGTAGAAATTTCCTACTCTGGAACTAGTTCAGCAGAAAGTGGATGCCATCTGGCCGTAATGCCTTAGCAACCAGTTTCCAGCAGTGAGCAAGTGTTAGTTTAGGTCATCTTAAAAATCATCTAAACCTGTGTTTCCCAACCTTGGGAATTTTAAGATGTGTGTGGAGGCACAACTTAAAGTTCCCAAGGTTGGAAAACACTTGGTTAGGTGATCTCCAAGATGCCTTCCACCTGAGTTTGCCTCCCAGCAATCTCTGTGCCCAGCGATATGATAAGCAAAAGGCCATCGGTGGTCTGTTTTGCTTCCTGGGTTTAGAACAACCAATGACCTTTTCTTTCCAGGGTCAGAGTGCAAATCAGCTCTCCCAAGAAACTGAAGGCAGGGAGATATCTGAGTTAGAAAAGACAGTCATGATTCTGCCTTCATAGTTGATGATAGGAATTGTAATTCTATACCTATAATGTATTAAGAATTCTGGCTGAAATTCCAACTTAAATCTCTTTAGAGGCGAAAAACTCAAAGGATTTGGATTAGAGAAATGCCAAATGTTTCATGTCGTTTTGATCCATCAGTGGTGTTGTGTTGTGAGGAACAGAACATGGTTTTTGAGCTATTTTTTGAGCTCCCATTCCTCCTGTGGGAGATGCCAAGGAGTCTTCCAAGTGTCCCATTTCAGCTGCCTTTCCTAAATTAGCAGCATTTGCATGTACTGTTATAACAATCTTCATGTAGCATTATTTAATCCTTGTATTTTTAATTGTTTTTGTATTTTTAATTGTTTTTATATTTCTGTTTTATTACATTGTAAACCGCCCAAAGTCACTTTGGATAGCGAGATGGATGGCATACAAATTTAATCAATAAAATAAAATAAGCCGCCTTTTTGGAAAATATATATAACAGTGATGGCGAACCTTTTAGAGACCGAGTGCCCAAACTGCAACCCAAAACCCAGTTATGCATCGTCGGGTGCCGGGTGGGCATGGCCCATTGGCTGGGTGTGGCCCATTGGGTGGGCGTGGCTGTGGTGGTAACGGCAGACTGGGTGGGACTAAAAAGTTCAATCAATCAATTCCAACTTTGCAAGATCTTTTTTTTCCCGTGAGAAGTTGAAATTGACTGATTGATTGAACCTTTTTTTTTTGTACACAGCGACGGAGGCCTAAAGCAAAAAGGTTTTATAAAACCCAGCTGAAGGACTAAGACTGGGGCAACAGCGCGTGTGCCCACAGAGAGGGCTCTGAGTGCCACCTCTGGCACCTGTGCCGTAGGTTCGCCACCACCGATATATAATATTGGCTTTTGAAAGCACTGTTGTATATATTTGTGGAACTGATGGGATTGTGAGTTTTTCCTGATTTTTCATTGAACTGATATTTCCATATGGGTCATTTGGGTCAAGTGGGAAATCCACATGTTAAGAAGCATTTACCGCTGTAGTGTATGTTGAGAAACACAGGTCTTCTCTTAATGGTAGAGGATGAAAGAGATAAATGCAGAACAAACAAGAAATACCCAAGGATTTGCTCTAGAGAGAAAATTCTGGATATTTCTTGTTCTTTCTGCATTTATCTGCAGTGAAAATCCATTGCTACACTCAGCTTTTCTGTGCCTGTTCCCAATGTGAGTGCAAACCAACAATACACCATTCCATTCTATCTTAAGCAAGTGATTTTCAGCAGAGACTAAAAAGTTGTGTCATTGGATCATCTCCACACATTTTAGGTATGCCAAGGAAATGTACTTGATCCCCGGGAATTCAATCTGCAAAGCGGGAAGTCCATCTGTTGTTTTTGAGGTGCACCATATGGCTGGCCCATCTATGCAGGTGTCTTAAATGGTCTCATCATTGCACCCGTAGGCTGATATATTTCTTTTCTTGGGGAATGACCATAAGGAACAATTTTGTGCATCCATTATTCATCAGCTCTTTTACACAAAACAAGCTTATCTTGTTAGCAAACTCAATTGCCCATCCAATCCTCTACAGCAGCTTTAAAACTTGGCAGCTTTAAGACTTGTGGACTTCAACTGGCTGGCTGGGGAATTCTGGGAGTTGAAGTCCACAAGTCTTAAAGTTGGATACTCCTGCTCTATACTATAGACCAGAGGTCCCCAACCTTTTGGGCACCAGGGACCAGTTTCATGGAGAAAGGTTTTTCCACAGACCGGAGAGTGCATGGTTTTGTGTGCTGCCTGCATCCCACGGATTGGGTTTTGCTTGTTTGTGTGGACCAGTTGCTGGCATGCGCTGCCCAGTACCGGTCCACAGACCGGGGGTTGGGGACCCCTGCTGTAGACCTTATGAGCAGAATTTCTTGTTCAGTTCTAAAATTCTCCTCTAGTTTTTCATTATGTTTATTCTCAAGTGACAGTAATCATGCATATAATTTGTAAAAACTGGAGGGGCGGGGTGCTGCTGCTGCAGACTCAGGTCCATAAGGTTCAATTGTAGTAATGTATTAGCCAAAGCACACTACTGTAATTCTTACTTTCTTCGACACTGATTTTAATCTAGCCATCTGGTAGCACTTTCCATTTCAGTTCCATTTTCTGGGTATGCCTGAAAGAGAGAGATTATGTACATGTGAAGGTGTACATGCACTTGTGCCCATGTTTTGCTTAAGCTGCAGCATTTTCCCTTTCAGCTATATCATTGACAAATGTTACATGAACACATGTAACATGATCCTTCGTGGTATTTCCCAGTATTCCAATCAGTCTCGTTTTATTTAATGACAACAATCCTAGAACTCAAAGAAATAGTTTCAGAGGAACAGTGTTGCTTTATCATCCAAATTTTATTTATCTATTTAAAACAATTCTGTATCGGTTTTCTTGCTTTTTTTAAAAAAATAATTGGTTTGTAAATTTCAAGCAATTGATGTACAGTAGTTTTTAAGCATGGCAAACCTGCTCAGGCACGAAACCTTATACCATTTCAGACAAACGGCTGTCCAGTTTCTTCTTAAAAACCTCCAATGTTGGAGCACTCACAATTTTTGGAGGCAAATCATTCCACTGATTAATTGTTCTAACTGTCAGGAAATTTCTCCTTAGTTCTAGGTAGCTTCTCTCCTTAATTAGTTTCCATCCATTGCTTCTTGTTCTGGCTTCAGGTGCTTTGGAGAATAGGTTAACACACACACCCTTCTTTATGGCAGCCCGTTAGATAGTGGAATATACTATCATATCACCCCTAGTCAGTGGTGGGATTCAAATATGTGAACAACCAGTTCTCTGTGTGGATGCCCCTTCCAGAAGTCCATTCTGGGCCTGGGCCAGAACTCAACAAAAAATTAGCTATCAGTTCTGCCAAACTGGTGCGAACCAGCTGAATCCCACCACTGCCCCTAGTCCCTCTTTTCATTAAACTAGACATACCCATTTCCTGCAATCATTCTTCGTATGTTTTAACTTCCAGTCTCTCAGTCATCTTTGTTGCTCTTCCTTGCTCTCTTTCTAGAGTCTCAACATCTTTTTTATATCTTGATGACCAAAACTGGATGCAATATTTCAAGTGTGGTCTTACCAAAGCATATGAAGTAGTATTGACACTTCACATGATCTTGATAATGTCCTTCTGTTAATGCAGATTAGAACTGCATTGGTTTTTTTGGCAGTTGCAGCACACTGCTGGCTCATATTTAAGTCATTGTCCACTAAGGACTCCAAAATTCCTCTCACAGTTATTACTATTGAGCTAGGTACCATCTTTTCTATACCTGTGTGTTTTGTTTTTCTTGCCTAAATGTACAACGTTACTTTTCTCATCATTGAATTTCATTTTGTTAGATAGGGTCCAATGTTCAAGTCTGTCAAGATCCTTCTGTAGCTTGAGCCTATCTTCTGGAGTATTGGCTATTCCTGCCAGCTTGTTGTCATCTGCAAATTTAATGAATTCTCCTTCTATTACCTCATCCAAATCATTGATGAAGATATTGAAGAGTACTGGGCCTAAGAGAGAGTCTTGGGGTATCCCACTGCATACTTCCCACCCTGTAGATTCAGTTCCATTAAGGACTACACATTGAATGCAGTTGGTCAGCCATCTGGTGGTGATGCTGTCTAACCCACATTTTTCTATCATATTAAGTAGTAGGTTGTGGTGTACTTTATCAAATTACTTACTGAAGTCCAAGTAAATTATATCTACAGAATTTTGCTGGTCCACTAATCTTGTCACTTTGTCAAAGAATGCAATAAGATTTGTCTGGCATGATTTATTTTTGACAAACCTAGGTTGGTTTTTTGTTATGACTTTGTTTGCCTCTACATGTTCGTATAGTCACTGCTTGATTATCTTTTCCAGAATCTTCTCAGGCATTGATGTCAGGCTGATAGGTCTGTAGTTTTCTGGTTCCATTTTTCTCCCTTTTTTGAAGATAGGAACTACATCAGCTCTTTTCCAGTCTTCTGATCATTCTCTGGTGCCCCAGGGTCTTTGAAAGATATGGTTCAGTGGTTCTGAGATCACTCAGATCATTTTGAATCCATTTTATAGAGCCGTAGTGGCACGCAGTGCCCTCTCTGTAGGCACATGCGCCATCGCCCCAGTCCTAGGCCTTCAGCTGGGTTTTATGAAACCTTTTTGCTTTAGGCCCCCGCTGCCGTGTGCAAAAAAGAAAGGTTCAATTAATCAATCAATTTCAACTTTTTGCGGGGGGAAAAAAGATCTCGCAAAATTGGAATTGATTGATTGAACTTTTTAGTCCCACCCAGTCTGTCGTTACCACCACAGCCATGCCCACCCAATGGGCCACGCTCACCCGGCATCCGACGATACATAAGTGGGTTTTGGGTTGCAGTTTGGGCACTCAGTCTCTAAAAGGTTCGCCATCACTGTTATAGAATTAAACTGAGGCTTGCAGACAGCACTGAATTCATTGGATCCATTTGTGGTGTCACTTTTTGCCCATAATCAAATAGCAGCTTTGCCTGTTCTCTTTTACCAAATCCGTATTCTGCATTGTTCATATTCACTCTCCGACATGTTTTCTCCCTTTCTGTCTTTAAAAAGGGTCAACCAGACATGTCCCCAAAAAGTCAAGGTGGCAATCTGGACTGCATGATTGAATGTGTGATGCACACAAAAAGTGTGGGCCCTTGTTCACATAGTCTTGATCTCCACCTTCACTTTTATTGTAGCATAATAGATATAAATAAAACATTACAAAGAAAAAGCAGAGCAACATCCCATATTTCAGATAATGTGCTCAGTCCCTTGCTAATTTGTAGTTTGAGACTAAGAGGTACAGAGTTATGATGGCTAATACTTTTATTATAGGTTTATAGTAATAGAATCTTGTGTGTCTGGATTTATTCCCCCCCCCCTGTTTTAGTCTCCATGAGAATTAGGGAGGGTTAGCTTTCTCAAATTACATTTCTGCCTGGGAGTCAAATTTCTCTTATCTGGCTGTTGTCTTCTTTGTAGCTCTTCCTCCTATTCCTCAAGGTTATTCCTATTTCCCATTACAGGAAGGGACTGTCTTTCTAATTAAATCTAGTCATTCCATGGGAGTCTTTGGGAGTATGATGATTGGGTAACAGAACGGCCAATCAAAGTAGACATTATAGAAGAAAGAGGAAATTGTGAAATGGGAACTTTTGAAGTGGAAGTGGAAGTGGAAGGAAAAGTCTGAGAAAGGTTCAGAATCTAGTCTAATATTTTAATTAGGTATATGCTTATGATTAAGCATATAGGTAGTCCTTACAGCCATAATGGAGCCTGCCCTTCATTGTCATCAGCCGTGATGGTTGTAAAATGGGTTGGTTAGGTGACCACTGGATGGGGGTGCATTAGAACTTCCGGTCATAGGTAGCCCCAAAGTAGGTCTGTCATAACTCTGAACAGTCACTAAGTGACTGTTGATAAGTTGAGGACTACCTGTACTTAAGTAGATAAAATCTACTTACCTTCACAACAGCCCTGTGAGATAGGCTGGACCAAGAAAGAGGGCTCAACTTAAAATCATCCAGGAAGCTTCTGTGACTGAGCAGGGACTAGATCCTGCATTTCCCTGCCCTTGGTCCTACATCTTGACCACTACAATGCACTAACTTCTCTCTTTTAGCATAGAAAATGCTTCCATCTGTCTAACAGGCAGAGTTAGAAATATATTTAGTGCAAGAGTAGGCCCAGACTGAGTGGAATCCATTGACTTTGATAAACCATTTCAATTTATTTAAGAAAAGACAATTTATCTCTTTGTTTAAGTCAGGGGTCTTCAAACTTGGTCAGGTACGCTGGCTGAGGAATTCTGGGAGTTGAAGTCCACAAGTCATAAAAGGGCCAAGTTTGAAGACCCCTGGTTTAAGTGTTAATCAAGGGCTGTGCTTTCCTGTATCTCTCCCATGTTCCCTGGACATAAAGAAATATAGGGGGTGGGGAAGAAAAGAGTGTCTAACCAGAACACAGCTTAGGGGAACAACAGGGCAAATGCTGTAGAGCCTGTAGAGTTCTCATTACTTCTCTGAATTGGTTTAAGACACCCATAATTAGAAGGATATTTGACCTGTGATGGAGAATCAAAGGAAACCAGTGCAATGAGGGCCTGTTTGGTTATGGGGCCCAGTTTGACCTATCTGTGTTAAATGGAAGGACCTTAGATCTGCAGATCTACATTGTCCTTGTCTCCCACGTACCCTATTTAATACATAACGCACTACCAGTGGAAGATTTATACCAGAAGAACACGGTGCAAGCAAAACAGGGCCTCTAGAGTGTTACTTCCCACCCACCCCCATCCCTGCCAGGGTCGAAATCTCTCTGCTGGATGGCAGATGGATGCCTCAATTACATCTTCGCCCCACTTGGACAGCTGTCGAAGGAGATTAAATACAGCTCTCATGGTGAACTTGTTTCCACCCGCTTCTTTTGATTTGTCTGTTTAATTTTTGCTTTTAAAATATTAAGTAGTGCTGAGTAACCTCACTTCAGCTCCATTTAGAAGGGGATTATTACAAGCCTGCCATGTGAGCCTTCGGGAGGGGGGGAAAAATTGCCTCCCACCTTGTTAGTTTGATACATGCATCCTGAAGGTGCTGTGCCCAGGCACCTTTGCATAATATCCCCAGCTTTTGCCCTGGAGGGAAGCCACAACAAGTCACAGCAGCCCAATTGAGTTGCATTCAGCATAATTTATTTAAAAGAATCTTCTCTGCCAGCCAGACTCTATCAGGCAGCAGATGCGGGGAGAAGACTGAATACATGTATGCACAATAGCAGAAAAATCTCTGTTTTACATTCTGAGCTGAACTTTGGGGAAAAATAATCCTCAGTTTGGTAACGCAGCTGAGTATTCACCAGAAGGACAGGCTGGCTTGTTCTTTTAACGCAGGGATGTCCAACCTTGGCAACTTGAAGACCTGCGGACTTCAACTCCCAGAATTCCCCAGCCTGCCACAAGTCTTAAAGTTGCCAAGGTTGGACAGCCTTGTTTTAAACATTGCCAACATCATTTATAGCACTTATTGACACATTGCACCATAATCACTAATCTCAAATCATAGACCAGCACTGTTGCTCTGTTATCTGGCGTGCGTTTTCAGTGAGTTTGATTTTAGCATGTACATTTCACTTTATGCTTCCATGTACTCCTCGGCTGATGCAACCCATCATTCCTGTGATACGTTCCTTGTGGCCTCTCTGCAGTCCTCCAAATGCGAATGCAGCATCGGAGGTCCCAAGAGCAGCTCTCCGAACGACACTTAATTCCAGGTGAGCCTCGTAAAAATCCAAGAGAATCAGATGGCAAACAAGATGCGGGAGGAGAGGAGAGGAGTGGATGCCTGGGAAAAGAATTGGCATCAACATCAGAATATTAATGTAGAATGCTTTCCTGACATGAAGGGAAAGCTGCACCCTTTGAATTTCTGCTTACTATAGGTAGTCCTTGACTTACAATCAGTTGCTTAGTAACTGTTCACAGTTTTGAAGGACATTCCTAGGGGCTACTTAACAACCCAGATTGGAAGTTATGATAGTCAGGCCTGCCCTCCCAGGAAACATGACCTAATTTAGGGCGCTTGCACACCAGGCTACATTTACGATTGTTTGCAACTGCCAACAGTTATGTGATCATGTTTTATGATGCTTTCGCTGAAAACTGCAGCTACTTTCAGTTTTTGGCAAAACTGCACCCACAGGGAACCTTTAATGATCATGGCATTTGCTTAGCAACTGCCACAAAAAAAAATCAAGTGGGTCACGTGATGATTCTGTTTTACAACCATCACGAGTTACAGCCATGATGAGCCAGTTCCATTACGGTCATAAGTAGAGGACTAGCTATATACTAACGAATTTCAGCAGAAAACAAAATCAGTAACACCACTGCTTGGATTCCTTGATTTCTGGGGAACACCCAAGAGAGAACTTCAGCTAACCCATTCAAGAGAATGTCCAGTCAATGCAAGTTTTGAAAAGTTACAATTCAACATTTGCTTTGATTTCTACAATGGAAGTGCCAAAATGTATCTCTCCTACCAAGAGCCATAACAACAGCTTGATCCAAAATGGCTAATAGCATAATGCTAAATGGATAGAAGGGTCTCCTTTTTGTCATGCATAATAAGGAATGTTTTTGACAAATGACATTTTAAAAGAGAAACCCCCAAACAATCAGTTCTGTGCCAGACAGCAGATTTTGCAATCAAATGGAATAAAATACTAAGCCTAAATAACATAGCCATTTTAAATAAATTGAGAATACAAGAGTGGCTTGGGTGAAAACATGTCAAAAGACTCAGCTGGGGTTGTGTCCAAATCTCTCCATTTTCTAAAAGGATTGGGCTACCCTGTATATGCTCCTAAATTTGGGAGAAGCGTAGTGATGGATGGCAGAACACTTCCTCTTAGGGCTCATCTGATTTTTTTTTTCCTTTTTACCCCTCCAGGGCTCAGCAAATCCCTCCCCACTTTCTCACAGCCTAGTGGGACACAAGGGCAGACCAGGGTGAGTATAAATGGGATTTAAGAATTTTAGCAGCATAAAACAATCACAGGGATTTTCCTGGCATGCTATTGGACAATCCACTTTCAAGAGTTGGGCTAGCCTTCAGTAAGAATGGCATCTAAGTCAGTGGTTCTCAACCTGTGGGTCGGGACCCCATTTGGGGTCGATTGACCATTTCATGGGGGTCGCCAAGCAAGGCTGTCCGCCATTTTTTTTGTCCGTCATTTTTTTTGTCCGCCATTTTTTTCCCCCTTTTCCGGCGGGTGCCTTACCTCCCTTGGGCTGGGCCAGCTGGTGGTCGGCCTGCTCCGTCTCTGCAGCTTGCGAGCTACGCCTCGGCCGGCGCAGGGGGCGGAACCATGCATGTGCGGCGCTCCCAGGCAGGGAAAGTCCTCGATTTGTGACCAGTTGGGTAGTCCTCGACTTACAACCAGTTTAGTCCTCAACTTACGACCGGTTGGGGTCGCGGTATTAAAAAGGTTGAGAACCACTGATCTAAGTAGAGATCCATGTTCTGCATCGGCCATAGCTGCTGGCTTACCTCAAAATGTACATAAGCTTTTCAAACTCTGTCTCCTTTCCCACCATCCCATCTTAGTGAACTGGATAGGGCTGATTTAGGCCATTGGTCCATCTTGCTAAATATGCTTATTTCTGCCTTTTCCAATAGAGTGCTTTCCAAATGCAATGAATAAGCACCCACAATTCCCACTTAACATGGAACAAAGTGAAGCCTCCAAGGGAAGTCGATTGTCCTGTAGTATCACTACTCTGAATTCCTAGTGTGATCAACAGTGCATTTCCAAAATCTAGGCAGAGAAAGATAGTTTATGATATCCATGGGTTGGAAACACATGTACTCTCCTATATCCAAAACTTATCTCATTAGGTTTCCAGCCGTGTTTATATTACCTATGATATTAGATCTGAACACCAAGTGTAATCTGAATCTCCTTCTTTTAAAGACATGCAGTGGCATCATCCAAATTTAAAATCCTACACAGAATCCCATCAATTCTACTTCTAAAATAGATAGCCATAGAAATAAATTTAGAGACTCATTGAGTTGTCTGATGAAGCAATATACCTGGCATACCTGTTTCATTCATAACATGACTTACTGAAATACACTTGTCTAAACATGGTTAGTACTCTGTTGAGGAGACCTTATACATGACTTTTTCATTGTCTTCTCTTGATTGTCCTAGTACAGTGTTTCCAAGGCTTGGCAATTTCCAAATGCTGAGGCTTCTATTCCCACAATTCTCCATTATTATTAAAGAAAATTCTGGAAATTGATATCTATATATTTGGAAGTTTCCAAGGTTGAGAGTGAATCAACCACAGGCACAGGCTAAACAGTTATTTCAGCTTAAAACTCCATGATTGAGATATATTACTGGACGGGAAGAGTTATACAGAGAGACTGAAGAAGCAGTTAGTAGTGATGACTATACAAGCCCGTTTGAGCTGTTGGGTCATCATTTCAGAGATATTTCTTTACCTCATTCCTTAACACCTTCAATGGCAAAGCTTCTAATGTTCTGGAAAAGTTCTTAAAAATTCAGGGAAATATTCAGAAACATATCTGCCTTGAAAGTAGCCCATGTTGAACAGTATAGCACAGTCAAACACCTGGAGTTGACCATAGCATTTTATGGTATTTGTATTATGTCATGAAATGTTTTGTAAAATTGGTCAAATTTTAATTCTATGGGAAACATAGATTCCGATTTTGGATGAATTCTGTAAGTTAGCCAATTTGAGGTACCTTGGTTCAAAAATTGTTGCCCTACAATGCGCTGTTTCACCCGATTAAAGTTTACAGACAAGAGAGTTTTAGTAATATGTAAATTGACTGGATATATTAGCTGTGTCGGTGATGTTTTTCCCTTATTTCTCACAGGCCAATGAGACTGCCAAGGTCAAGGTTTCACCCCGGCCTCACAAGACCAACTCTGCTAAGGGCCAACTGGCTGAAGGTAGGGGAAAACGCCAGGTTGCAAACATCTGTGCCAATCCCATGTCATTATCTGAAAATTAAGATGTTGGGTTTGTATAACATAGGGTTATACAGTGGTACGGGTACCACCTGTGGTACATTGGCACCTGGCAGGTGGTACGCGACCATCCTAGAAAAGTGGTAGCAGGGGAGGGGAATGAGCTGAACCGGTGGCAGCACCACACAAGCCTGAGCGGGAGATGGCTAGAGCTGCAGGGCTGTCAGGGCTCCAGGAAGCGCCAGGATCAGCACCAGGCTCCAGCTGGAGCTCGGCACTGATCCTGGTGCTTCTGCTGAGCTCTGAAGAAGCACCAATCAGCTGGAAAGCAGCACTAATCCTGGTGCTTCTGCTGAGCCCAGAAGAAGCGCCGATCAGCTGGAATGTTGCAGCATCTCCAGGGTCTTGTGATTTACATTCAGATGCTTGGCAACTGATTCATATTTATGACGGTCACAGTGTCTCAGGGTCATGTGAAGTGACCAAAACCTGCTGCAACCACCCAGCAGACGGGGGGAATAAAAACTAAACACCCCCCCACCCCACCCCCCACTGCCAATCCTCAACAGAAATGCTCACAACAATGAAAACCTCAGACAGGAGGAAGAGCGCAACTGGGTGGGCAGGCAGGTGTCTTGCTCGGCTGTGGCTTGGGGGCACTTTTTTCAGTGCCATTGTAACTTTGAACAGTCACTAAGCGAACTGTTGTAAGTCGAGGACTACCTGTACTTTATCACTTTTTCCCTTTTTTTTTGGTCATCAAGTTTTTGACACCTTGCTAGGCGACTGGTGGTACTCAAATGTTGCCATATCTTAAAAGTAGTACAATGGTTGAAAAGGATGAAAAGCCCTGGTATAACATACTAGATAAGGCTTGCCATGGGTTGAGTAGTTTCTGGAATGGTGTGTTGTGGGAACACAACTATTATCTTAACATGTTGTGTGATTCAGGCCAGAATATTAAGCCATGATACTGGTTTTTTTAGGCATAGTATATTATGTGAGCAAGGCACCTATGTTTTGTCAATACAGAGTAAGAGTATTTGGTGCAAACTCAAGCAAATAGTCTTAAAACCCTGATACAAGATCCAGATCCTCTTGAGGAATCCATTTTTCACCTACCTATCTTCAGAATCCTGCCAGATCCCCCTTTTCCTTTTTTAAAAATCTATTTCCAGGAGGGAATCGTGTTTTGATCTCTCACATTTCCCCATAGTTCTAAGTGGAATATTTGTGTTTTAATAGTAAGTATAGGGATGAAAATTATGGGGATGGGAGCAGGGCACTCTAGTACCAAATTTTGAGCTGCACTGGCAACATTTATAAAAGTCAGAGGGTGGGCAACCTATTTTCATAAAAGTACTTTCCTACTTTATTTCTGTTTTCAAACCCTTTTTGCAATTAGTGATTTGGGGGTCCTATTTCCCCAGTCGCTTTTGTTTCCAAGAATTGTTTTTTATAGTGCCCCATCTTTCTAGCTTCCACTTGCTGTGCTGCTGGATATCATAGCTCTGGGAAACATTTAGGCAGGCAAGACCAATTCTCAGCACAGCCCTGTTCAAATAAATACATACACAGTTATAAATAAATAACGGGGAGAGAGATTTAGAAAAGAAAGAGTTTTGCTCTTAAATTTTGTAGGGAAAAAACCCCTCTTCTTCCACAGAGTTCTCTATGCTCTCCTCCAAAGAGGTGTTACCCTTTCAAAGAATGAGGTTAAGATGATGTAGCAGGCTTTTTGGACTCGGAATTATCTTCATGTTTTCCACTCCTGACTCCCTAATGGGGAAAATGAAAAGACCTCCCATTCTCCAGGCTCAGTGATATATTCTGATAATCTTCTCCCCCAAGAGAAAAAGTGTTCTGCCTTAAGGGGTGGGTAACAGGTGCTATAGGAAACCCACCCCTTATGCAGTACCTCTTTCCCCCTGCATATTCACTCTCCTTCACTTTCTAATTTGAACTATCTTAGACATCTGGGTGTAGCTTGGGAAAAATAAACTCACTTTTCTGGAAAACAGGTTATTTTTTTCCCCTTAAGTTCTGAATTTAAACCAAAATCAAGATTTAGAATGTTCATTTTAAGCCAGTCTTTTTTGCAGACCAATCTGTCCCACCTGGTTAATGTTGAGGGGAAAAAATTGGAGAAGAAGCTTCTTTGTGCACAATCTTGAATTCCTAAATGAGAGGCAGGATGGAACCTCCATCTATGCATGAATAAGTTCATCTGTGTTTCTAGCTACAGGTAGTCCTCGACTTATGTCTACAATTAAGCCCAACATTTCTGTCACTAAGCAAGGCAGTTGTTAAGTGAGTTGTGCATTTTATGAGCCTTTTTGCCACAGCTGTTAAGTAAATTGCTGCAGTTGTTAAGTAAATCATGTGGTTATTAAGGAAATCTAGCTTCCCCCATTGACTTCACTTGTCAGAAACCAATTGCGAAGGTCGCAAACGACAATCACATGAACTTGGGATGCTGCAACTGTCATAAATACATGTTGGGTGCCAACGGCCAAATTTTGATCATGTGACTGTGGGGATGCTGTGACGGTTGTAAAAGTAAGTCCCTTTTTTGCACTTCCATTGTCACTTTGGTTACTAAACTAATGGTTGTTAAGTCGAGGACTACCTGTACTCAGAATAATCCCCAGGGCAGTGGTGGCCAACCTATGGCACGGGTGCCAGAGGTGGCACTCGGAGCCCTCTCTGTGGACACGCGGGCCATTGCCCCAGCCCCGCCTCCCCTCGCAACCCCCTCCTCACCAGCAGCCTGCTTGGAGGAGAGGCTCCCCCAGGTGTGGCCCACGCAGAGCAGCGCATCCAAGCACATGGCAGCTGGGCAGCAGGGGCAAGACTCCACCCTTGCGCCCCATCACGTGCAGATGATGCTGCAGGCAGAGGGCGTGGCTGTCATGGCGCTGCAAGGCTGCCTGGGTAATCTGTGGTGAGTGGCCCTGCGGGCGGGCGGAGCGGGGGGCGGAGCGGGGCCGGGCCAGTTTTTGGGCACTTGGTCTCTAAAAGGTTCGCCATCACTACCCCAGGGGATGATTAAACCCTTTGTAACTATTGGTGCTCATCTTGTTGTGGATGCAGGCTTCTACGAGGTAAAACTCCCCTCTGATCTGGCCAGATTGTTCTTATTTCACTTCATTTGCTTTCCCCGAACGATGAATTCCCTCTGGTCCTCCATTTCAGTGTCTCGAGGGGACCGTTCCGAGTTGCAGGAAAAAAAGGCTCGCTTGGCCGAAGACTTGAGCGAGAAGATCTTGCACCGTCCTGGGCCGCTTGAGTTGGTGAAGAAAAATATTCTCCCCTTGGATCCTGGTATCAAGGATGTTGTGGCAGGTAATGACATGGTTAATAGCGCTTCAGAAGGGGGCGAGAACACAGCCTCATGCAAGCTTCTTTCTTTCGTAGCTGCTCTCAGTTGTATGGGGAAAAGCATATTTAAAATAGTAAAAACAGGGGATGTAAAGATGTGAGATGTCTGGAACTATAATCTTGTGATTGAAGAAAGCTTCAAATGTACCAATGAGTCTCAGTTACAGATAGTCCTTAGCTTACAACCATTCATTTAGCAACCGTTTGAAGTTGGAACAGCACTGAAAAAAGTGATTTATGACTAGTCCTTGCACTTACAACTCGCAGCATCATGTGATCAAAATTTGGGTGGTTGGCAACTAGCATGTATTAACAAGGGTGGTAGCATCCCTGGGTCGTGGGACCACCATTTGCGACCTTCCCAGCTGGCTTCCAGCAATCAAAATCAATAGAGCAGGGGTAGGCAACTTTGGCTCTTTTATGACTCGTGGACTTCAACTCCCAGAATTCCTGAGCCAGCCATGCTTGAGGGGAAAGGGAGAGGTTTTCAAGCTGAGCCATGCTGGCTCAGGAATTCTGGGAGTTGAAGTCCACAAGTCATAAAAGAGCCAAGGTTGCCTACTCCTGCAATAGGGGAAGCTGGATTTATTTAACAAACACAGGATTCATTTTACAACTGCAGTGATTTGCTTAACAACCATGGCAAAAATAAGTTCATGCAATTGGGCACAATTCACTTAACAATTGCAACAAAAATTCTGGTGCCAATTGTGGTCATAAGTCAAGGACTTCTTCTACTATGGCCCAAAATGAGTTCTGATGACTGTGAGCTCTCCAAAACCAGAAATTGATTAGACATTTATGAGGTAGATGAATCAATCATCAAGCTCAATATAAGATAATTTTATATAGAATGAGATTAAAAAAAGGAACAGATTTTTAGATTTTTAGATTTTATTAAATTTATACCCCGCCCTTCTCCCGGAGGACTCAGGGCGGCTTACAGCCAGTTTAAAACAATGATACAATACAAAATTTAAAAAGATTAAAAATAACTATTTAAATTTGGCCGCTTCTACTAAAAATTTAATTTAAAACCCCTTTAAAATACCCCTAGGCCAGTCCTGCCTGC